TCGTTTATCGGCCGAATTTTCGCCTGAAAGAATAATCGGCCGATATTCGCACCGTTAGTGGGACAATGTCATCGACCGCTGTTCCTCTTCGTTTCTTTTATCGGTCATGCCGGAAAATTTACGAAAAACGGCCGATTTTTGTAAGCATTGGTGGCAACAGAACGACTGATTTTTTGTTTTTCGGCTGATAAACGAACCGTCTATGGCCTGCAAAAAAGTCCCAAAAATTCTCAAGGTTTTTCCCATATATACAGGTGATTTCTTTGTATTGTCCACCAATTCCCAGTTTTCCTCAAACTGATTTCTCCTCTTCCACTCTTCAAAGAAATAGATAAACTACACATAGTGCATTATCCTTAAAATATAACGCAAATACTGGTGATGTGCTCACATCAAAGTGTTAAAAACTTGTGCTCTCAGTGATCATGTGTTCATCCAGTGACTGTAATTCCTACCCTTACCCTGGGTAGGTAGATAACTTGCTTAATAAGCTCAAGTGATTACAGGATCCTTCATATACTGTGAATCAGTGTCACGTCACACACCACAGGGTAATTAACACCAGGTAACGTTCTATAGAGGGAAGATAGTGGTATTTGGACGTCTTCCTGAGTCAACAATAGGGTCTTCCTGGAGGATATGTGGTTGCAGGAACTGGGCCCTGGCCGTGGCCGCATATCGCAGTTGAAGATACTGAAAGAACATCTTCTGTAGGAAATGGAATTTCTGGGAAAGCTGAGAGAATGGTAATAGCACTCCAGAGTGCATAACATCAGCCAGGGTTCTAACACCATATCTCGCCCAAAGGTGTGGGTTGGGGATCGGATGGAATGAAAATGAGGGAGTGCAGGATTCCCCCAAAGTGGTTGTGCTGGAGAGATATGGTCAGGTTGAAGAAATCGTCATTTAGCCGAAGCCCATATTCGTAAACTAGCCTGCGTGGGTTCAGGGATAGTGTCTTAAGCCCTACGTTCCCGATAAGGAATATTATGGAGATCTGTTAGAGATCTCAGACAGGCTGTTTTCCAAGCAGACAGCATTATTGGACCTAAATATCCCAAACCACCAATAAAACGACACCAGCATCGCCACTCAATAGTAAGTTTGAAAGTTTGGGAGGGCCAAACCCCCCATATCAGCCGAAAGTTGCAGGGTGGATTTCGCAAGGCGGGATAGGGCACTCTTCCAGTGGAAGGGGGTCACACAGGAATCTATCTCCTTAAAGAAAGACACAGGGATCCAAATTGGGCAGTTTTGAAAGAGAAAATTGAACTTAGGCAGGATCCTTTTTCACAATATTCAAATTTTCTGAGATACTGAATTTTGGGTTTTTACTAGCTATAAGCCATAATCATCAAAATCAAAGAAAAAAATGCCTGAAATATATCACCCTGTGTGTAATGAATCTATATAATATATAAGTTTCACTTTTGAATTGAATTACTGAAATAAATTAACTTTTTGCTAATATTTCTAATTTATTAAGATGCACCTGTAGATGAAATGATAGATACCACACCAGACATCGTAAAGTGTGCCCTCCTGACCGCAACCTCGGAAGCATAATGTAATAATTATAATAAAGTATTTTATAGTTAGATTCGATGATAAACGTATTTATATAAGATTTTGAAGTGCAGATTGATATCTTGTACCATTTATCCTGTTCCATTTCCAAGTTTAAGCCACTTTCAATAATTGTTGGGATTACCCAGACACACATCTGCAACCCTGAAAAGCCTTTAATACACCACCATTTAAATACTAAAGGGGTGAGAACCATTAAAAACTGTGGGTTAAGAAATAAGGAAGCTGGGGGAGTGTGAGCGAATTTGAGTTTATGTGAGACACACAATCTGTCCCACAAGCTCAGTGAGAAGGATAAAGTACGGCATAATATTGGAGGCCAATTCATATCTGCTATTAATTGCTTACAGGTAGGTAGGGGATAGTTTTTTTCGTAGATAGTTGACAGGGAAGAGGTTAGGCAGATACCCAAATAGGGCAGAGAACCAGATTGCCAAATAAAATAAAAGTTTCTCTACATGGCTTGAATGGTCTGTTTGTCTAGAGAAAAATGTAAGGCCTGGATTTCGCATGGTTCACCTTCAGTTCTGACATAGGATGGGAGATAAGGGACATCCCTGCCTAGTGCTTCCATGTATGTGCAAGGTTTGGGATCTATATCTTTTTAATGACAAGGAAGCTAAGAGGTTCTCATACAACATCTTTATTGTCAAAAGAAAGTGAAGGCCAAAACCATATCTCTGTAAAAGTGTAAAATAGATAGTTCCATGATAAGGTATCAAACGCCTTTTGCAGGTCCAAGGATAAGAGCATACATTGTCTCATACCACTATTGTCCCAGTTAGCATGAATGGCAAAGGTGATCTTGATAATATGCCGAGTTTGGTCTGAAACCTGCCTTTGTGGAACAAAGCCCACCTGAATGTATTGGGCAAGGAAGGAGCTGAGTCTGCTAGCTAAACTTTTGGTCTTTATATTTAGATCCACATTGTGCAAATTACTGCCCTATTTAATTAAGCAATCTCCAAGATCTTTTCCTTGCTGTGAGAGAATATGTAGTATATAGGCAATTTTTTCTATGGGGTAATTGTTCCCTTTGTATGCTATAAAAAATTTTGCATAGATGGGGGCCAACAGTTCACAATTTTTCCTTTAGTAGAGACAGGAAAATCCATGAGATCTCTATGTTCCCCCTAAAGGCGGGGCAAGGGAAGGTCCACTTATTTGTGTGGAAATATAATGGGTAATGGGTGTGGCATATAGTCTAGATAAAAATTGAAAGAAACAATTCTCAAATGAGTTGCGGATTTTGAATAGGAAATCATTACTGAGACGTAATTTGGGGAGGGCCAGGTTATAGCATAGTGGGTTCAATTTCCTTTCCAGAAGTGTGCTAGGTTTGTCTACTCAAGTGTAACACTTATGCCTGGACCAACAGAGGTATTTATTCACCTTCATAGTAAGGCTAGTGTTAAGAGTGGTGTGGGCCATTGCAATCTGGTTTCGTAGGTCTTTGTTTGCATCCCTTTTCTATCTCTCGTAAAATTCACCAACTCTCTCTCCTTTCCTTTTTCTAGTGGCCTCCCTGTTATGTTTAACTACCGATGCCTGTTGAATAAGTTTGCTCCCTAATCGTGACCTTGTGGGCTGCCCAATTGGTAGCAGGAGACATGAAGAAAGAGAAGGGCCTGGGCCCCAGGAAACCCTGAGATCATGTACTAAACCGGCTAGCAAAGTTCAGCAAAGTGTCCATGGTCGAGCAAGCCAGAGTGCCCCCAACTGTTCCTCAAAAAAGAGCTGGAAGAAAGAAATTCTGAAGGACAGCCCCTTATTCAAGTGTCAGGCGGAGCACTTCTAGGAGTGGATTTCTTTTGCTGCTGCCACAGCGGAGACAGCCAATTAGAGTCCATCTGAGTAGACTGTCAGTGAGCTGAATCTTTTTGGATGATGCCAAAACTTAAAAGGATCTCTTCACCTTCCTGTATGGTGGAAAAGAAAAGTAGCTTGTGTGAAGAGCAGCCTGAATGAAAGTGCTCACTAATATTTTGATTCTTCAGCTGCATGAGTAGATGTTTCAAAGATCTCTTCTGTATTGTAGGAGGTGCAAGGTCTGCAAATAATTGAACAATGTGGCTCATTAAGGTGATATCGGGCCTGGATCTAGCAACTGCTATGAGTTTTTCCTTAAATTTGTAGAAAAGAGGTTTGATGATAACGTCTCTCGATAAGCCACCAGATCTGGGGGCCATCGGCACTTGGTGGACCCTATTTACCTCTAAGTGATGCGGTGAGATGTCCGGTATGAGATCTTCATCAGGGGATGCACAGTATCTTTTTACTGTATATAGTTCTGGAAGACCTCCTATGCTAACATTATATCATCTCTATCAGGTTTCCAAATCTTGGATTTTAGCGTTAGCTTGGTCAAGTTGAGACTGCAGATCGATGATAACATTAGAGTTCTGATTAACTCTCGAGATCATACTATTTTGTATTCTATAGCATCCAGCCTCTCTCCTATGGATTGCAGATCATGTTTCACTTCTATGGTATTAATCTTGCAGGCTTTTGAAAGTTCCTGTTTTATAAGTGCTGAGAATCTGGCTATTAAAACAGCATCTCCACTGTATGTTGGCTGCTGGGGTGGCACAGAGCCTTGTATGGAGCTGGATTGTCTGATGGCTACTTCAGCCATGGTTCGATATATGGAGGAAGCAGAAAAGAATTCAAAGGCCAGAGTCTCTCTAGGGAAGATGGATCTGTGTATGCCGATCCTCTGCTTTGCAGGGCTGGGCCACCACTCCATAAGGGTTATAAATGTGGACTGCTGTGTGTGCCTTCTCCCTGCTGCTGCGCCATCTTGAGACACTGTTGTTGAGGAGGAAGCGCTGAGCAGGTCTGTCGAGCAGAGCTTGCAGCCTTCTTCTTCAGGAAGCCCACTGCCCGCTTCTGTGTTGTAATCTGCACCTCTGCCCACCGCTGGTGAGCTGCTCTCTTTAAGCAGCTCCTTAGCCAGGGGAAACCCAACTCCTGCCAATCAATTTTCAAGCAATAAAGAGAGCTCTGCAAATTGTATGTGTACTGATCCAGAGTGGTTGTGTCAAAATAGCCAAGTACATCTACGAAGCGGTCAGATTCAAGAGAGACACCAAAGATAGTGTTTAGTGTAGGGATCACATCATTCCAATAACTAAACAATTTCAAACATTGGACTGTGTTTAACCAGCAGCTGAAGTTTTTACTGTGCAAATTTGCCATATGTACTCTTACAGCAGAAGAGATAAGCTTTGATTCATACAGCCATGTATGGGAGAGAGACTGCTGAAGAAGGCTGAGGCTGAGGAAGGAAATTTCTGTGCCATCACATTGAGAGAACTGAACAACCTAGGATATAATCAACCCCTTCAGTATAAACAAGGCATACAGACTTACCTTACCGCAAACTGATCACCCGTAATAGAGCAATCTTCAGGATATTTTGTCTTGTCACTCGCTGGTAAAGGGGAGCTTTTTGAGAAAGAAATGGACTGGATTGGCGTCAGATTAAGATGGCTGTAACAGTTTAGAAGATGTAGTTGTTGGTCATAAAATTTCACATGTCCACGAGAACCACCAGTGACATAATATCTGAAAAAAGAAACTTCATAATATCAATGTGTGCTGCAGAGGAATTCAAGGGGAATAAGAACATTCACAATAAATGGGAAGAGTACTGCAGAATGCACTGATCCCAGTCATGATTCTTATTAGCTCCGACTGAGCTTTCTGGTGCAGGAAATGTTTTCAAAGATATTGATGTCAGCAAAGGTACAACTGTTGCTTATGGGGCACTAAGTAGCAGGAAGTGGCAAAGAAAAGACGTAATATGGAGAGTTGGACTAAAATGCCCCATGCCAAGATGGCCTCCTGGAATAAACAACAAAAAAGAATGATGCATAACTGTGATAGGGGTTGACAAGGGCCCACCTGTAGTTTATATACAACTTTAAATAATAGCTAGGCCTGTATTATAGCGCTCAGAATGGCATCTTCTTATCACCAAAATACTGTGTTGTATGGCAGGCATAATGCAAGAATCGGTATGCAAGATGCTAACATTGCACACGATATTATTACTATTATCATTATTATTATTAATCATAATAAATGACCTACGACTTGATGTGAGTGCGCAAGGAAGCAAGGTTTTGCCGCAGTTGTTTTATTTCTACTTAAAGTGGAGCTCCACCCAAAAGGGGAAGTTCCGCTTTAAGGACTGGTCCCCTGCTCCCCGTTAATGATTGGCACCTTTGGGGAGCAGGTACCACGAAATTGACAGGTACCCACTCCCACTTCTGTTTGCAATTACCTAGGCGATCGAAAGCGGAAGTCCCCCCCCATAGTCTTCTGGGACACGTGACAGGTCCCAGAAGACTATGGACCATTCACAAAGCGCAGCACTGCTCACGCATGCGCAGTGAGCACCCGGCTGTGAAGCCGCAACCTGTCACAGCCAAGTGCCCACACTGAAAATGCCAGCACTGGGAACACAGGGCGGCCGGTGAAACTGACTGTGGGGAGGACACCATGGGATCGAGGGACAGGTAAGTGTCCATTTTTTAAAAGTCAGCAGCTACAGTTTTTATTTTTTCTTTATTTTCACTGTAACTCTGCTTTAACTGTGTTATTAAGTGAGCCAGAGTATGCCCAATTGGCTCTGTTTTGTACTTTTATACACGATAAAAGTTAATAAAAAAGAAGTTTGGAAAAAAAAAATGACCTATAGCACACAACCACAGATAAACAGTAGGACCAAACTGATGATCTCATCTGTCACTCTGTTCTCTATCATGCTCCTTTCACTGCAGCACATATAATTGGCTCATTGTGCTGCTTTTTCTTCCCCCAGTCTGAGCTCTGCTGTACATGGGACTGCAAAGACAAGTAAAATTAGTTACTCACACTGCTTGCTTTTAAAAAATACATTTAATGCTGCATTAGTCTTGCCTTGGGGTTTGGGTTTCAATTTTGTGATCAATTGCTGTGCTGTTAATACATAGCACGAGGGAGCTTTGACTCTAAAATCTGACTACACTTAAACCTTTTTGTTTCATTTTGAGCCTTTTCTGCAAATCTATATTTTTTTTCTTAAAAAAAAAACCTTTATTGGAAAAGCTGATCTTGATAAGCTGCTGTACCTTACATTGCATTATTGTTCTGGGTGCTAAATAATAAACATACTTTATTGTGTAGTTACTTTTGTGGGAGGTATATATTTAGTTTGCATACCAAAATATATCTCATTGGAATTACCACTTAAAATGTTAACTGTTTTTGGCCTTCTTAATTACAATGTCTGGTTGTTGTCATTACCTGTCATGGGTAGTGAGCACAGTAATTGCATCTTTCTGCAGATGCATCAGCTTTAATGCTTTCTTATTATGTGGCTTTATGAAAGCTCTTTCTCTGATCGAAGGGGGATTGATGGTCTCCCAGACAACCAATTTTCCTGCAGATGTAGCTGTCAAGGCTCTTACATTAACAGAATGGAAAACCGATTGGCTAAAGGTTCCCACAACTTTGTTAAAGGTCTGCAAAAAAAATAACACAATAATAGAGAAATTGAATTAATTATTAATAAAGATACTGTGATCAGGTTAAATACTTGGAGGTAAGGAATTTCGCTTATACTGCATATACTGCATACTATCTCATTTCAGTGGGTTGATATACTGAGACTAATTTACAGAAGAAAATCTCAATAATGAACTACTATGAGTATACAAGTAAGGAAAACTGAAATAAAAGGTTTTCATGTGACTATAAACATTTACTGGTAGCAGTAGTTGAGCAGATTATTCCAAGTAAAGGACTTTTATAGCCAAGTAACTAGAGGTGTTCATACACTGTAAAGCTAGCCATAAACTGAGAGAATGTCAGCTGACTCCTGATGAACCAGATGAATCAGGGCCGGTTCTAGACTATTTTGCACTCCAGGCAAGCCCAGCTACTTGCACCCACCTCAGACAGTGGTGGTGGGGGGATGGGGGAGCCATAGGTTGGTCGGTTTGTGTGTAGGGGGAGGGCAGTAGGTTGGTCGGTATACCTGTTGGTTCCTCGCTCAGGGTCATGAGGATGTTGGGATTGGTAGAGAAGTTGTTGTTTTGGTTTTTAAGGTGACAGCGGTCCCCTCTCCTCTCTGTGCATGCGTTTTGATCTCTTGGAAGAGAAGAGGCAGGAACACAATGTTCAGGCCGCCATATTTATTTTTGGAAGGACTGGCCAATTGATTAGTTAATGAGTGGAAGCAGTCCAAGTCTATGAAGGGATAGTTGGTTCTCTGCCCCTTTTCCTGTCATCGCACAATCCTAATTATACAACAACGGAGAGCCAATCCCTTCCCTGATCCGTCACTCCTCCAAAATCTTTGGACATGTGATTTCAAGTCCAGTGCTCTCTTGACTCCTCCCACCTTACATTCTACCATGCCCCTCCCGGTTCGTCCAACCTATAGAATGATGTGATGATTATCAGTGTTTGGAGGAGTTTTGTTATCGGGGGAGCTGTTCGGAGTGGTGGGAGGAGCTTTTCTGGGGGGAGGAGAGATGGGTGTGTACAAAGTAGAGTACAGATGATTGGAGTCTGGCCTTATTATTCATCTCTCCTCTATGGACTCCTCTAGGTTTCCATCACACCTGAGCTCACCTCTCCAACCAGTAAAGTTACACTCCCTGCTTATTAGAGAGTTCTGGCTCTGACTTATCAGGGGACATGTCAAACCTTGGCAGAGAGACCACTGCTTGCACACAGAGAGCATGGGTTTTTTTATACTGCATGCTGGCAGGGATAGGCATTTCTACTCAGGTTGTAGCTGCTTTCTAAAGAAAACACATTGCAAGACATTTTCACTCCTCTCTTTGTTTTTGCACCTGGAAAGTATTTTAGGAGACTTAACTTGAACATTCAGTTGGGCTTTAACAACTGAAGTGTGCAAAGATAGTAGCAGATATTGCTGGGGGGGGGGGGGGGGGGGTTATATATAGAGTAAATAATTTTGCTGTGCAATGCAAGTTCACAAAACTGGTCACCTGTGTGAGCAGAACCAAACGTATTTTGTTGCTGCACTGTCTGTGCATAAAGTTAAGAAAATGTACTTACGCTATTATTCAGCAGAGGAGCTGCATATTCCAGAGTAGAGTTATCCTGTGCGTGGGAAAAATGAAGTAGAATAACAATGATTTTAAAGTGCATGTTTTGTTTCATGATCAGTTAAAGGAAAAATTAAAGTGTTACTAAACCCACAACAGTGAAATCAGTCTGTATATGCAGTAAAGCACGCTTGTTATACTCACTGCGTAACCTAAGGGGTTAATCCTCTGCATTGTGTAAAAAGGCTGTTTGAGCCTGACTTCTTTGATCCTCCCCTTCTTCCAGTGTCTCCCTCTTATCTCCTGATAAGACATATGGTGTGGAGTCACTCTGCACATGCTCAGTTTGGTGTGTATTGCTAGAGAGGGTTTTTTTTTTTTTTTTTTTTGTTCTTAAGAAAGTGCATGTGATCAGCACAGGGCAGGGCCAATCAGCACTGTCCAGACAGAGGGCAGGGGTTCTTTATCCTCCTAGAGCAAAATGAAAATGCCTCCTACAATCTTTAACCAGTGCATGGCTTGACACTGATAGAAGTCACAAGACTGTTCTAACTGCTGATGAGAAAATATATTTAGCAGTTTATATTTACTAAAATAATTGCACTTCAATGTCCTGTGTACTGTGGGAGACCAGATATAGTGAATGCAGGGTCCTGGGTGTAGTAACACTTTAAGGTTCCTGGCACACATTGTATATGTAAATGGGTAATTTAGGTGGATAGGAGCCTAAAGTTAAAAACCAAAATAGGTCAGTCATCCCCTTTAAAAACAGAAAAAATTAAGCTCTGTTGAATCAGACTTTTATTAAATATAAAAAACACAAACTGGAAGACAAGTGTTGTGTGCCTTTAGTGACACTGATCTTACTGTCTGCAGCATAACTTACTTAGTCTGCACATATAGGAAATTCTGCTCAAAGTTTACGTCTGCTAAATAGAAATGCAGTAATTGGACAGGGGTGTTTTTACCAATACTAACCTTATTTGTGGACCATAATTGGATATCCAGCGGTGCTAAGGTTCTAGGTCACGGACCTTAACCAGATCACAAGTTATATGATCCATAATTTGCCGAATCTCATTATTACTAAAAATAGGTTTGTAGTTATTCTAATATCCCTTCGGATCTCCCTGTTTGTTTAAAGCAAATCTAAATTTTGACTTTAAGGTCTATGTAAACATGCTGGCATAGGAATTGATGCCAATGAGGTGCACAGCTCAAGCATATCTGAGAGTTAATATCAGATGAAAAATCAGCAGTTGACTTTAGAAATTCTGTGAATACCTCCTGAAGACATAGTGTGGCCAGGTGGCACAATCACGAAAGGGTATGCATATACATGGAGCATTGGGGTTTTATATGACCATTTTGTACTGGGACCCTCTACCATTTCTGCTTGCCATTGAACAGGAGATATATATGCAGAAAATAAGTGCTGTAAAATGGTGCATAAATTAATATAAATAAATTAATATTGTAATGTATGCTAACCTCCCTGGCAGTATGATTATTTCAGATTTTTGGTGCTGAAAGCGGTACCATTATTTTGCATGGAAATATGTATTTTTTTTATTGTAGGCTGTAATTTTTAGGAATAACTCACTGAAATCTGTCCGAACAAGAGTCTAGTAAACATCCCGGGTATGATAAAACTTGAAACACAAAATCATAAATTATAATTTAATAAATAATCATAAAAAAATAATAATATAATAATAAATTTAATTCAATAATATAATCAAACCAAAAACACTGAAATTTGAAATATAGCGCCAAGTTTGCACATTGCTGAGCAAAGTCGCAGAATCGTTTTCAGTGTCTGATGACGAATTTCCCCACGAATCATTATCACTCAATTCTGCAAGTGGTTCTGATTTACTATCACTGTTCTCTAGCTGGTCTAAAACCGCTTTTGACCTAAAGGGACGCTTTTTGGACGCCATGGACTTGTCTAAGTTTCCAGGCAGAAAGAACAATCAAAATGCAGGCAGGGCACAGGACAAAGCACTTGGGACAAAATGTATGTGAAATGCTATGAAACAGCAATGTTTTACTATGTAATATTCGTTTACAAAAAAATGACATTTTTTTAAATTTTTAAATTTGCCGCCGGGCGTACGTCCCGACGTCACAGGGACCGGAACACGGATGCTGACATCAGCCGGAGGAGATGGCCGGGGACGCTGCAAGGGACACATCGCGGGAGAGAATGACAAGGTAAGCGCTGCAGGGACTCCCTGAGCAACGCCGCATGGTAAGCCCAAGTGTAGGTCGGGGTTACCGCTCTTGGTACTGAAATTTTACCCCGAGCTACACTTGGAATACCGCCAGGGAGGTTAAAGGATAAGTTCACCATTGGAAACATGTTACATGTTCTCAGGGTGGAACATGTAACATGTTTCCGATCCTGCAGCCACCGGCCAAATCCCCCCCTAACTTGATAGCAGTACGGAAAGAGGCTCCCTGTACTAGCTGTCACTTTTTAAAAATAGCTAAGCCGTGCGGGGCTTCACCTACATGGCCGCGTCATTTATTCATATTGTTCTGTGAATGAATGCACTACAAGTTCCGTTATCGGCTTGTAGTTCTCAATGAACTACCATGGCGCTGTGAGCGCCGTGGTAGTTCCTTGAGTCTTCCTGTCAGAAGTATTGGCTTGCATGTACAGGATGTATGAGCAAGCAGATACACTGACAGTCTGCAGAAGACCTGCATGGCATCAGTAATCTGCTGATCGCTGGTGCAATGCTTTTTAGGCTCCTACTACAAAAAATAAAAAATGCACATTTTTTTTTTACATGCAAAAAAAATTTGCATTTATTATTTTTTGTAGAAAGGTGAACTTATTCCTTTAATATAGTAATGTTCTTTTTGCAAGATACATATCAATCATTGCAGTGTGACACTATTGAAAAAAAGTAAATGACAAAGACAAATATGTGGTAGTTTTAGATGTGCTACTTACCCATGAGTAAAATATCACTTGTGTATCACTGTTCGTAATTATTTGTGTGTGATCTTGAGGATTAAATATAATATATTTCTGAAATGTGAACAGATATTGACAACGTATAAAAATTTGGACAGACCTACATTACTGACCTCAGGAACGTAAAGTTGAAAGCTGTAATATTGCTGACTATAATCCCCCCTTTCCTTATATACTTTAGCTATCTCACAAGTAATGCAATGGCAAAGACCTATTATTGTGCATGTGATCATCTATAACCATTTATATGTCTGCAGTGCATGCTGAGTTAGTCAGCAAATGTATATCTCTGTACCTAAGTAATAGCAATCTCATACATCTCATACAGAAATGTAAAATGTTAATACAAATAAAGTGATAGCTATTAGTTGGGTCTCTTCATGTTTTACAATTTATTAATCTAATTCATTTACTGCATATAGTGCCCACAAATTGTATAAAACTTTACAGAGTGTACCGGTCAATCACATTAATCTCCACCCCCAAAGAACGTTGCACCATAGGTGAGAACCCTGGTTTAAGGTGGAGGTAAACTCTTGCATATACTCAGTAAAGTACCTAGCCTCAGGTGATGCACAGAAATAAAACATATCCACCTATATAAGTTGTACCTGCTTATCTGCAGTATTTTGTTATCTACAGCTGTTCAAAGTCCAGAATTTTTACAGCTTATCTGAGCTTCAGAAGGGAGCAGGGAGCTCTGAGAGCTGATTGGAGGGAAGATACACCCCCCACACACACACACACATACACACACACACTTTCACACAGCACATAGGAAGCTGGGGCTGTCAATCACAGGCTGTGTGCTGGGGCTCCCTCCCCTGTCACCTTTTTACCTCTTGGTTTCAGAAACATTTCTCAGAATTGACTCATGCAGATAGCAGAGGAATGAGGCAGTATAAAGAAATGCCACTTAGTCCTCATGCACACTGGATATTTTTACAGTTGCTGTTTTTAGCTTTTGGAGTTTTTTTCTACAACCAGTAAACTCTCCAGCATGTTATCCTATGTGTCCATTCACCCCTAGGCTTTAATCAGCGTTCATCAGCAGGGGTGTTTTTGGCTGGAAAAAACACAGAACTAGTGGGTTTCTATAGGAGTTTTTTTTAGCTATAAAAACGCTTGAATGCTGAAAAACGTGGAAAAATGTGGCAAACCAGAGTTTTGGGGCATTTTTTTTTAACAAAAATATAAATTTTTTTTGTGCAAAAAAAAAGGCAAACATGGAACAACGTGGAAAAACGTGGCTCAATGGTAATGCAAAAATGCTAAAAACTAGAGAAAAACAGTCCACCTGTAAAACCATTCCTGTTTTGGGGGTCGTCTCATTGTTGCCCATGTAGTGCACCTGTTAATTTTTTAACACCAAAGCAGCTTAAACTGATTAACAACCCCCTCTGCTACTTAACTAACAAGATCAATATCCCAGGAGTTTAACTGACTTGATGCTATACTATGATTAAAAAGTGTTTCTTTAATTTTTTTGAGCAGTGCACTTTAACACTTAACATTTTCTGTAGGGTTACTGGGACAATGTAGACCAGATCTAAGTCAGCAGCATACATAGCAATTTATGTTGTTACCTGAAGTCCAAATTCTCCTTTAAGCTCAGCAGCACAGACTGGTGTTTCAGACCCTGTGGTCCAGTCCCAAATACAGACTTTCTGCGGGAAAGAATATTAGGATAAAATATAATCTACATCATTAAAGGGAATCTGTCACAAAGTATCTGTATGAAAAGCATGAGATGGAAGAGGCACAGAGAGGATACTCATTGTAAAATTATGCTTAACCCACACTGAGCAAAACAGCTGCTGGGGGCAATGAAAATGTTGTGTAGGCTATGCGTTTTCAAAGTCAAACTGACACAGGGCTATAGACTCCCAATGTGACACCACTGAAGTTTAGTGCTGTCACATGGAGTAAATGATATACTCATTCATATTCAGAATCACCTGAAGAGAGCAGAGGGGGCAAAGGAAAGGTAATTGCTGGGCAGGGGTGGGCAATTAAGGTGAATCTGTCACATACAAAGAAAAGGTCAATATAAGGTAGCACAGTGCATGACTTTTTGCATGATCCTAATAAGGGCAATGGGATCATCCTAATACGCAGCATTTATAACCTATATTAAATAAAAAAAGATGAACACCCAATGAACCCAAGTAAGTGTAGGGAATAGTACCCAAGAACAATCTAGAAAGCAAAAGTGAATAAATAACGGGACCTCTTTAACAATGAATGGTTTGATTGGTTATTTTGAGTGTTTTTTTTTTTTAAAATAATAAAATGCTCTGTGCATGAAAAACTGATGATGAAAAACCAACAATTACCTGAACTGTTTCTCCTCCAATAGTAGCCAGGTACTTAGCATTCTGAGACATAGCTATGGCAACTACTCCCCCTTCTGGATGACTCTGGAATATCGTATGAACAGGGACGCTAAAGGACACAAGATAGAAATGATGATAATAATAATGAAATTTAAGGCTCAATTTACTAAACTATAGAGATCATTATTGGCAATAACGTCCATTATTTTAAACAACGAGAGTCAACAAGAGCTGCAACTAAAAGTCACATGGCTGAAAATAATCATTATTGCAAACACACGTTATAACTTTGTGAATAAAGTCTTTTAGTTCACAAGCGTGTCATACCCAATTTTTATGTATCAAGTATATTAAATAGAAGTAAGACAAAGAAACCTGGTGATGAATAGCAGAACAGGATGAATTTTAATTCAACAAACTGGATATAGAATAAAATGCTTTTGTTTGCTGAAAAGGGTTAAAATTGGTATCACATCACTGGTCTGAGTCACGTTTCAGCATCTTACTATATCTTTGAGGCTCCAGCTGTGAATGTTCTGCAGATTAGTTCCTACTTATCATACCTACCACATTTGTTGAATTAGAACCTTTTTTTCCTGTATGATTTGGATTTGTTTTACATGACAGATTGCAGTAATAAACAAGAGATCCTATTCAGGTCAAGGTAGGTTACATCCAAGACTTCTGGTGTTGAGGCCTTTACTATGGAACCCTCAAGCAAGTGGGTGTTCAGCCCAACTATACCTGAAATAAATAACCTAAAGTGATCTGAAATACTGCTTCTTGGTGGATTGACCACTTAATGGTATGCATGTTAAAAAAACAAACATATGATCTAGTGAATAGTATAGCAGTGTATATAGTAGTCCAATAGTGTATGCTGTTACAGGATGCAATTACAGGAATCATTTGGCTTACTGGGGAGGACAACCTAACTTAGTCCTTGGATTACATGATAGGGACATTTGATGGTGTCACTGTACATTAGGCTAATCTCTGTACATCATTCTGTTTTAAGGGCAGACATCTAGTGACCCCGGTTGTGTGGTAAGTAGTAAATTCTACAACAAGGTGTATAGACAGCCAGATCTCAATCAGTGTTAGCAGAAGTAGTTTGGGAGCTTTCGGTGCCTGTTTATAACTGTACCAATGGCATGGCATAGCAGTTCAACCACTAAACCTAATGGAGGCTGTACAGGCAGGGACGTATTTACCACAAGGCAAACAAGGCACTTGCCTAGGGCGGCATTTTTCAGGGGGGCAGTACCTTCCCCCAGAAGAAGGGATGAAAGAAGGGACACGCACGCCATGGGAACCAGATGGGATCCGAGAGAGGTTGCGGGCTGCTTGATGGTGTATGTAGAGCCTGGCTCACGTTCCCGGGGATGTCCAGAGCTGTGAAGATGAGTGTCTCTCTATTGCCGCTTGGGGGGGGGGGGGGTAGTAGAAGGCTCTCCCGGGTGGGGGGCAGGAGTGTTGTTGGTCAATGTCAGGCTCTCTCCGCGGGAGGGGGAAGGGGGGGTTGTGTTGGTCGGTGTCCGTGGGGGCAGACAATTTTTGTGTTGCCTAGGGCAGCACAAAACCTAAATACACCACTGAGTACAGGAAAAACAAGCATTGTATCACTGTATGTTTTACAGACCAACAAAATTTGCCAAATATACATACATTTCCCAATATCAAACAGTCCCCAAAGTTTAATCATTTTAGTGCAAATGGTATAGTGGGTATGCTTTGGTAACATACAAAATATATACTATTGCTCTGTGGAAGGCATGAAAGAATATTTTGAATATTAATTGCCTGTAACCTTCATTTATTGGAACCAGATAATTTATGGTCTAAATCAATATTCATCTTAGCAATACACTATATGTCTCATGAAACAGTAATGCCCCTGGTAAACAGTGAGAGTCTGCTTTGTTAATATTGGTTTGTTCCAGAATATGGTAATGTCTGATGTGAGAAGGTAATGGATATGGTTTATCACAGTTATAAGCTGCTAACTTCAAAGCTAACAATACAATAAGTTGATTTATTAAAAAAGAACTCCAGGATGCAAATGTTTTCCTAAACTGTCCCCTTGAAGCCCCACTGCAATTTCAGAAGAATATCAGCCGTCGCTGTCCAAGAACAAGTAATGTATTGAGATCCACATAACTCCTACAGGTACTGAGATATAGCACTACAACACAATCCAGCATTCCTGTGTGTAAACTGTATCCTCTTCCACCCCCACAATTTAAACTGTCCATACGTACCAATTCAGATATTATTATTATATTATTATTTTATTATTACAGTTCGTTCAGTGCTGTACATTACAAAGGGAGACAGAATATACGACAGTACAATAAGAATACAATGCGATACACGAGGGGTTCGAGGGCCCTGCTCCTTTGAGCTTTCAATCTAGGAATAGTCTATCTACATATTAGATGTTGCTATGCATAAAGCAATTTTCAACCAGCAGCACTAACTGAAGAATTTTTGCTAACAGAGATGCTGAGGATGCTCAAGTTTTCGTAACTTTTTTGTTTTTCCTGGAGACAATCATGAGCCAAGGGAAATCCTTTTTACATATTTAGGATTTGAGCAGATTTCATTGGCTATGGAAAACTGCACTTGCATGTATTTACAGCACGATCTTGCAAATGTATACTGAATGCTGGGCTGAATCTGGAGTTCTTCTTTAAGGATATCCACAAACCATATAATAGTACTAAAGTAAAAATACCAGATTTAAGATTTGTCACATACTTTCTTTCAAATCAAAAGAAGAATCCCACTTGGTCTCTGTTTTTGATCATGCAACTGCATTTATGTGAAATAGTCTTGTCCCAGTAACAAGTGATGCCAGAGAATATGCTGATACTTCACGATCAAACCACATTGGAGGTTATAATATTAATGATTTCAGCATATTGCTGACCTTACCAAGAAAATGAATCCCATACAATGATAAGACTCTCTGGTCCATGGTCAGCTGTAGCAACCCATCTTCCGTCTTCACTCACACACATGCAGGAAATGCAACTACAGTGCCCCTGTAGGAGTATAGTGATGTTATTAAATCACTAGTAATACTAGACGCTCATTCAGAAAATCTGTAAAATCTGGAGAAGCATGTTAAATACAACTCTCAGGCTAGGAAGTACAGCTAGAGAGCTGATTTACATACACTCAAGCATTTCAGTTTGGAGGTGTGGGTACCACAGGGGTGAGGCTATGAGACATGACTGGTTGGCATTCTCTCACATATGTTTATCAATGCATTACTTGATTGCCTATGAAATTTCACAGCCCTTCAGAGGTCAATATAAGTTTTACATATATGACGTAACAACCCTATCCATCTTTAACTGTATCAAAACCTAAGAATAAAAATGTAATATATTAAAGCTTACTCGTCCCCAGGGGCGGACTGACAACTTATGGGGCCCCCGGGCAATAGGGGATCATGGGGCCCCTGTGTCCTTGCCCAAACTCAAAAAAGCCTATGAAAAAGGTACCAGGGGCATCTCATGGGGCCCCCTACTGACCCCCGGGCCCTTGGGCAGTGCCCGAGTTTCCAAATGGTCAGTCCACCCCTGCTCGTCCCTAGATATGGTGGCTGCATTCGTTTTCTTTCTCAGACTCTTTTTCCATTATTTTCACTTGGCGATTTATACTTCTTGTCCTATGAACACTCACTCACTGTACTGTATGTATGGGGAAGGAATATTGTCACCCTAGGCTGTTCTGATCTGGAATACAGACTACAAGCTCCTTCCTCTCTCCTAATCTCCGTAACATAGGTGGAAGTTGTTCTGGCAGAACTGGGAAAGCTGATAATATAGTTTGAGATCTCAGGTCAGTACACAGAAAGTTACAAGCACATTGGATTTATAGCAGGATCAACAAGTATTTTACTTAAGTGTTACTAAACCCACAACAGTAAAATCAGTCTGTGTATGCAGTAAAGCATGCTTGTTTTACTCCCTGTGGAACCTAAGGAACTAATCCTCTGTATTGTGCAAAAAGGCCGTTCGATCCTGACTTCTCTGTTCCTCCACTTGTTCAAATGTTTAGATCCAATCTCCTAATAAGACAGACTGAATCGTAGTCGTTCTGCACATGCTCAGTTTAGTGTGTATTGCTATAGAGTTTTTTTTTCTTGGGAGAGTGCATGTGATCAGCACAGGGCCAATCAACACTGTCCAGACAGAGGTTAGGGGTTTTGCTTCCTCCTAGAGCAGAAAGAAAACTCATCCCACAAGCTTTAACATGTGCTCTGCTAAACACTGACAGAAGTCACAAGACTGCTCTAACTGCTGATGAGAAAAGGTATTTAGCAGTTTATATATACTAAAAGAATTGCACTTCCATGTTCTGTGTACTGTGGGAGACCAGATATAGTGAATGCAGGGTCCTGGGTTTAGTAACACTTTAGTCTAAAGAAATAAAATGAATGCAGCCACCGCATCAACTGGACTGTTAAACTGCAATATATGACACTTTTGCTTTTGGGTTTGGGTATATCTTTTTAATACTACTTGTTGGTAAAATACTATTTAAAGAAGATGTTATATTCCTGATATGTGCCTGCTGTACCATGTGCTTGTATGAAGAAGTATCCTGTTCTCTTTGTATTGCTTCCTTTGTGTGAAATCCCTGGTTTTCCTGCTAGTCCCTCTGCTTTTCTATTAAAAAACTAACCACACTAAGCAGGAGAACACACTGTGGTTAGTTCTCTAGCTGTGCTTAGGAACTCAGCTTGCTGCCCTCCAATAATCAGACTTATGCTGACACCCCCCCTCCCCCTTCCCTGAACAGCAATTCACTGGGAAGCTCAGTGTACTACCGTTTCTCCCCCTCCAGCTATTATGCAGCTGTGGGTATGTGGTCTCTTATAAAAAAAAAAAGGGGGGGGGGGGAGTGTTTTTTTATATTTATACACAAATGTTTTATATTTATTTTAAACTGAATGGGTTGTTTCATAAGGTGAGGGTTCACAGCCACTTTAAATGAAAGGTTGAAGAAAAGGGTTCTATTTTGTACACAACAATGCAACATACCACATAAATGTAACTGATATATCCAATCCTTACCTGTAGGTGACGCTGGTGGTTATGCGTCAAATCGTGAATGACAGCTGTGTGAGCACACACATAGAGAAGCACTTGATGCTCTTTATCTTCAAGATTATAAACTGGGATATTATTGTTCATACCAAATGACCATACTAAGTTCTGCACAAAGAAAACACATTTTATTCTTATTATGTGATCTATGCAAATAAGCAAGTAACAAATTGGTTGGATGGTGACCCATAAAATAAAATGAGTATGCCCAGGGGCGGACTGACAACTCATGGGGCCCCCGGGCAATAGGGAATCACGGGGCCCCTGTGTCCTCGCCCACACCCAAAAAAGCCTATGAAAGGTACCAGGGTCATCTCATGGGGCCCCTTACTGACCCCGGGCCCTCAGGCAGTGCCCGAGTTTCCGAATGGTCAGTCCGCCCCTGAGTATGCCTAAAGCTGACACATACGTGTTTGCAGCTGCTGGGGGTTAAATTTTAAATTGGCTTTCAACTTCTATAGACACAGAATAGTGGTCAGGCATTTAGGTACAATTCAATCACCCAGCTGCTCCTGTGATACCCAGTGCAAACATATTTATTATTTTTTTATTTCAGGTGTTTATATAGCGCCATCAATTTATGCAGCACTTTTACATATATATTGTGCATTAACATCAGTCCCTAACCCCTCGAGGGGCGTACAATCTAAGGTCCTTAACTCACATTCATACAAACACATACTAGGGACAATTTAGACAGGATCCAATTCACCTACCAGCATGTCTTTGGAGTGTGGGAGGAAACCGGAGTACCCGGAGGAAACCCACTCAGGCACAGGGAGAACATACAAACTCCAGGCAAGTGGTGCTGTGGTTGGGACATGAATGTTCAGCTAGACTGAATCAGTCAACTCTTTGCTCATGTATGTGAGCTGCTTTAGTTACCAGGTCTGCTTCAGAAGTTATAAGGTGTAACATTTTCCCTGTCCTGTTAATTTTATATTACATACAACATGAGTAAAGGCTGTCATATATCGTCTGAATTCAAGCTGTAGGTGCCTCTGTTGTTTAATCAACTTTTGTTAGCTTGGGTGGGGAAGTGTTGGCTGAACACTCGCTGTATCCAATCAGATGTAGCCACTGTTCAGGGATTCTGAGAGCCACTGGAGCCAGCTGTCAAAACCCAACAACCAGCAGGGAATATTCCTTCATCCGTGCTGTCTAACCACTTGCCCTCCTGAAGATTTACCTCCCTTCCTGACAAGGCCATTTTTTGCAATACGGCGCTGTGTTACTTTGACAATTGCGCAATCATGCAAAGCTGCACCAAATTAAATTTACGTCCTTTTTTAGTAGTAACTTATAGTAGGGAGTCTATTTCACATTTTCACAGTTTTCACTGTGAAGAAACCTTTCCGTGTTTGGAGATTACATTTCTTTTCCTCCAGAAATAAAGAGTGCCGCCTTGTCCTCTGTGATGACCTCAGGGTGAATAGCTCTACACCGAGTTCACTATATGAACCATTGATGTACAGTTGTGTCCAAAATTATTCAACCCCCAATGCTGTAAAGGGGTTTAGGGACTATAGTGTACATTTGGAATTGTATTCAGAATCAAATCCTACAAGGACGTTGTAACTACCCAAATGCAACTAAAATGACATCAATTGTTTATGTAATACAGTAGTAAATGGTTCTTATGTGGTTTCTTCATTGCCACAATTATTCAACCCCTTAAAGACTACCACTCTGAAGAACAGAGGTTCATACAGGTGCTTTCCATCAGGTATTGAAAACACCTGTGGATGTCACCGAGCAGCAATCAAGCATAATAAGCACCAATTAGGCAGCTTTAAAATGACTGTGATACTCAGCTCCTTCTAGACATTTACTGGTGTGGTTACAAACATGGTGAAGGCAAGAGAATGGTCCAGGAAGACAAGAGAAGAGGTGATTTCTCTTCACAGGAAGGGCAATGGCTATAAGAAGATTGCAAAGATGTTAAACATACCAAGAGACACCTTAGGAAGCATCATTCGCAAATTCAAGGCAAAGGGCACTGTTGAAACGCTACCTGGTCGTGGCAGAAAGAAGATGCTGACTTCGACTGCTGTGCGCTACCTGAAGCGTAGAGTGGAGAGAAGTCCCCGTGTGACTGCTGAGGAACTGAGAAAAGATTTGTCAGATGTGGGTACAGAAGTTTCAGCCCAGACAATAAGACGCACACTGCGTAATGAAGGCCTCCGTGCCAGAACTCCCAGGCGTACCCCCTTGCTGTCTCCAAAGAATAAGAAGAGTCGACTGCAGTATGCCAAAAGCCATGTGGACAAACCACAAAAGTTGTGGGATAGTGTTCTGTGGACTGATGAAACAAAATTAGAACTGTTTGGGCCCATGGATCAACGCTATGTTTGGAGGAGGAAAGAACAAGGCCTATGATGAAAAGAAACACCTTGCCTACTGTGAAGCATGGTGGAGGGTCAATCATGCTTTGGGGCTGTTTTGCTTCTGCAGGTACAGGGAAGCTTCAGCGTGTGCAAGGTACCATGAATTCTCTTCAGTACCAGGAGATATTGGATGGAAACGTGATGCAGTCCGTCACACACCTGAGGCTTGGGAGACGTTGGACCTTTCAACAGGACAATGATCCCAAGCATACCTCCAAGTCCACTAGAGCATGGTTGCAGAGGAAAGGCTGGAACATTTTGAGTGGCCATCGCAGTCACCAGACTTAAATCCGATTGAGAACCTCTGGTGGGGACTTAAAGAAAGCAGTTGCAGTGCGCAAGCCTAAGAATGTGACTGAACTGGAGGCCTTTGCCCATGAAGAATGGGCGAAGATACCCGTAGATCGCTGCAAGACACTTGTGTCAAGCTATGCTTCACGTTTAAAAGCTGTTTATAACTGTAAAAGGATGCTGTACTAAGTACTAAGATTGAATGTCACTTGGGGGTTGAATAAAACTGATAATGCTGTGAGCACAGAAAAGACATTTGTGGTTATTTCATTATAACTGTTATGTTATATTTGTCTGACCTACAAGTGCCTCTTTAATGTAAATGTAAGCAAGATGACTGAATGATCAAAAGCAATGTCAAACTGGCCAAAAACACTCAATTTCAGTGGGGGGTTGAATAATTTTGGACACAACTGTATTTATACATGTTGATCATATCCCCCCCTTAATCTCCTCTTCTCAAGAGAGAATACATTCAGTTCCTCTAATCTTTCCTCATAGCTGAGCTCCTCCATGCCTCTTATCAGTTTAGTTGCCCTTCTCTGTACTTTCTCTAGTTCCCCAATGTTCTTTTTGTGAATTGGTGCCCAAAACTGAACTGCATATTCCAGATGAGGTGTTACTAATGATTTGTACCGGGGTAATATGATATCTCTCTCTGGAGTCTAAACCTGTTTTAATACAAGAGAGGATTTTGCTCGCATTAGAAACCGCGCAGCTTGGCATTGCATCCCATTATTAAGCTTGTGATCTACCAGAACTCCCAGATCCTTCTCCACCATTGATTCCCCCAGTTGTACCCCCCCAGTATGTATGATGCATGCATATTCTTAGCCTCCAAGTGCATAACCTTACATTTATCAACATCAAACCTCATTTGCCACATAGTTGCCCAATTAAACAATGAATTGAGGTTGGCTTGTAAGTTGAAGACATCCTGTAAGGACGTAATTCCACTGCACAGCTTGGTTTCATATGCAAAGACTGAAATGGGATTTATAATCGCAGACCCTATATTGTTTATAAATATATTAAAAAGTAAGGGTCCCAACACTGAACCTTGGGGTACACCACTGACAACCCTAGACCATTCAGAGTATGAATCATTAACCATTACTCTCTGAATACGATCTTTTAGCCAGTTTTCTATCCATTTACATACGGATTTTTACAAACCTGCAGACTTTACCTTACACATTAGCCCTGTGTGGGGAACTGTGCCAAATGCTTTTGCAAAATACAAGTATACCACATCCACTGCCACCCCTCTGTCCAAGGTTTTGCTCACCTCCTCATAAAAAGAAATCAGATTGGTTTGACTTTCATGTATCCATGCTGTCTGTTGCTTAAAATATTTTTTTCCAGCAAGAACTCATCTATGTGGTCTTTTATTAAACTCTCCAGTATCTTCCCAAACATAGAAGTTAAACTAACAGGTCTATAATTACTTGGTAAAGATTTTGACCCCTTTTTAAATATTGGCACCACATTGGCCTTACGCCAATCCAGTGGTACTATGCCAGTCATTAAAGAGTCCCTAAAATGAGAAACAATGGCTTTGAAATGTCAGAGCTCAATTCTTTAAGGACCTGTGGGTGTATGCCATCTGGTCCAGGTGCTTTATTCACCATTATTCTGTCTAAATATTTTTGGATCATATCAATTGTGAGCCAATGTGGATTATCTGGAGCTGTGTCAATACCATACCCATTATGGACAAGAGCTCCCCATGCTCCTTTGTATGCACAGAGCTGAAGAAGGTATTTAATAAATTTTCCTTCTCTTTGTCCCCAGTCACCCACTCTAGATTATTTTATAAAGGGCCTACATGCTCGGACCGGACCTTTTTACTATTAATATATTGAAGAATTTGTTGGGGTTGGTCCTGCTATCTTTTGCAATCTGTTGTTCTTCAAATATAAGCAGATTATAACCAATGGGGTACAACCATCATGGAGGTATAATGGTTCAAACTATTAAGGATTCCATACAATCCAATGCCAATGTATCATACAAGCATGATATTCCTCAGATTCTTTGATTCCTAGTGAATGTGGGTCAAATAAAGCTTAATCCTAAAACAACTACTGTGTCTTCTCTTTCATTTATTCTCTATCACAATATGAAATTGAACGTAAAGATGGCCTTCATTAAATAGTCATGGACTGCTTAGCAACCAGCAACAGATAGTGCTGTCATGTCTGTAACCTGTAATTTAATTCCTTTAGGATCGAGTGCTTCCACTTGGATAGAAAAAGTGAACCTAGAGATTGAACTCTTCATAAGATGTCATTGATTGTACAACACTAGGCAAACAAATAAATGTTTGGCAGCTCCCAAAGGTTGGCTTCTTGTTCACCAGACCATCCCTGCCTCAAGCTTTCCTTCTGTTGCTGGTTGCTAAGCAGTCCATGACTATTTAATGAAGGTCGTCTTTAAGGACAATTTCATATGTCAACTGGTGGACGCCCCAACTAGAAATAATGAACTGCTGGACCTACTACTCACAAACAACACAGAACAGATTGCAGATGTGGACGTAAGGGATAATTTGGAAAACGGTGTTCACAAGGTAAATTGTGATAGAGAATAAATGAAAGAGAAGACACAGTAGTTGTTTTGGGATTAAGCTTTATTTGACGCACATTCACTAGGAGTCAAATAATCTGAGGAATATCATGCTTGTATGATACATAAGCATTGGAATGTATGGAATCCTTAATAGTTTGAACCATTATACCTCCATGATGGTTGTACCCCATTGGTTATAATCTGCTTATATTTGGAGAATTATTCTTTGAAGCCTGTTTTGCCAACCACGAAAGTGGGAGGCAACAACTATTGGTGAGTGCACATCCGTGTGGGGGACACTTTGAGGCACCTGGTTATTATTAGACAGCACGTGTGGATTCCAAAGAAGGAGGAACAATTTCTGTGGATTAATATACATAATTTTTGTATTCACAGTAATTAACTGATATCATTTTATTGATTTATTCACATTTTATTGTGTTGTACTCACTATATCACCCCATCACTATTAATTTAGAGCCACTATAACACTTTCTGTTTTATTCACTCATTTATTATGGTTTATTTAAAGTGGCAGCTGTTTTTTGATTAATATATATATTTGTTGAATATATTTGATACACTAAGCGCAATTTAGTAGGTGTTGATAAGTATCACATACATGTTTATTTAACACACTTATCTAATAAATCTGTCATTCGTTTTCAATTTTTGCGGCCTTTATTTCCCTTTTGCATATTCTGTTATATTCTTTATAATGTTTAAACGATGATAGCATTCCTTCATTTTTATATTTAATAAAAGCTCTTTTCTTATTATCTATAGCTTTTTTAACTTTAGCGATAAGCCACATAGGTTTGATTTTTAGCCTTTTAAACTTTTTGCCTATGGGAATATATTTTGCAGTGTGTTCACATACAGTCTTTTTGAAGAATTCCCATTTCTGTGTTGTGTTCATTGATGCCAATATTCCCTTCCAGTCTAAGTCTTAGAGAGCAGCTCTCAGCCTTGGAAAATTAGCTCTCTTAAAATTGAGCGTTTTTTTATTTTTCTTGCTGTTTACAGCTAACAATAAATGAAATCATGTTATGGTCACTGCTACCCAGATGTTCTTTTATATGGACAGTCGTAATAAGCTCTGCATGATTTGAGGTTACCAGGTCCATCAGAGCATCATTCATAGTTTGGGCCTCTATGAACTGTACCACAAAACTGTCTTGTAGTAGGTTTAAAAATGTTTGCCCTTTAACTGTTTCTGCAGTACCATTACTCCAGTCAATTTCTGGGTAGTTAAAATCCCCCATTATTATCATTGTCCCAGCCCTTGCAATCTGTACCAGGAGCTGAGTATCCACCTCCTCATTAACACTGGGAGACCTGTAACAAACTCAAATGATTACCTTTGTAGTTTGCACCCCCATGTGCAATTCCACCCATAATGCTTCAGCCTCATCACACTCTCCATCAACTAGGTCCTCTTTTACACTCGCTCTGAGATCACTTCTCACATAGAGATAGACACCACCACCTTTCCTATTTACCCTGTCTCTCCGAAACAGAACATAGCCAGGAATATTAAGTAATATTTACTTTTTGTATGGTATGTGTTTCACTCTGTATACTGTAACCCTGATAATACTCACAAGAGGCTTATCTGTTGGAGGTGTGTTCTCCTTTTCAAACGCAGTCCTAGGGGTTGCAGTGTAAATTATTGAGTCTTCGTCTATTGGAGTTTCTTCCTTTGAATCAGGTCTTTTCATTTATGTCCTCAGGAACTGGGTCTCCTGTGTTACTAGTATCTGCTGTCTGACTTTCAACAACATACACTTGTGAGATTTCTTTATGGACAACAATATCTGACTGCTGTGGAAGATTTATATCCTCCAATTCATTGCTGTCATTTTTCAAAGGCTCTTCATCTGTAACATTCTCCTAGTAACAGAGTAAAACAACAAATGATTTAAAAAAAATACAAAGCATGTTCATTGCTGCAGTTTTAAAAGATTTGTATTTGTTTTTAGTGAGTACTTTTTACTCACTTTCTTCACCCCATTACAGGCTGTAAAATCCCTGGCCAGAACAAATTAACCCACACAGAACACTTGAAACCACTATTGTCTACAGTCATATTCCAGCACTGAGACATTCTTACTGCCCTGGAAGGGATACAATATGATGAAATTCACAACTTAACATTCCCCTCCCCCCTTCCCATTTGATGCCTGGCAGCATACCATCTCCTCCATCTTTTATAGGCTAACTTGGACAGAGACTCACTCAGCACACCCACTATCTCATTTGAGGACTTATGCTAAGGTACTCTCCCGGCCTCCCACCTATTGTCTTACCTATACAAACTCTTCACCACTATTGGGTCACCTGCCTTTATATACACATGAACTTTAATGGCATTGCAATCTTAGTCAGTAGGGTTTAAGAGTTGGCCCACTCTTTGCAGCTATAACAGCTTCCACTCTTCTGGGAAGGCTGTCCACAAGGTTTAGGAGTGTGCCTATGGGAATGTTTGACCATTCTTCCAGAAGCAAATTTGTGAGGTCAAACACTGATGTCAGACGAGAAGGCCTGGCTTGCAATCTCTGCTCTAATTCATCCCAAAGGTGTTCTATCAGGTTGAGGTCAGGACTCTGTGCAGGCTAGTCAAGGTCTTTGTGGACCTTGCTTTGTGCACTGGTGCTCAGTCATGTTGGAACAGGATGGGGCCATCCCCAAACAGTTCCCACAAAGTTGGGAGCATGAAATTGTCCAAAATGTCTTGGTATGCTGACATCTTAAAAGTTCCTTTCATTAGAACTAAGGGGCCAAGCACAACCCCTGGAAAATGACCCCACACCACAAACCCCCCTCCACCAAACATTACACTTGGTACAATGCAGTCAGGTAAGTACCGTTCTCTAAACTCAATCATGTCCATCGGATTGCCAGACAGAGAAGAATGATTTGTAACTTCAGAGAACACATCTCCACTCCTCTAGAGTCCAATGGTGACCAGCTTTACACCATGGCATCTGAAGCTTTGCATCACACTCAGTGATGCAAGGCTTGGATGCAGCTGCTCGGCCATAGAAACCCATTCTATGAAGCTCTCTGCGCACTGTTGTTGTGCTAATTTGAAGGCCACACAAAGTATGGCCTTCAAATTAGCTATTGACTCTGCAGACAGTTGGCGACTTCTAAGCACTGTGCGCTTCAGTGTGCGCTAACCCCACTCTGCCTTTTTTACGTGGCCTACCACTTCATAGCTGAGTTTCTGTTCTCAGTTGCTTCCATTTTGTTATAATACCACTAACATCTGACCATGGAATATTTAGTAGCAAGGACATTTCATGGATGGACTTATTGCACAGGTGGCAATCTGTCACGGTATCACGCTTGAATTCACTGAGCCCCTGAGAGCGACCCATTCTTTCACAAATGTTTGTAGAAGCAGTCTGCATGCTTGTGTGCTTGATTTTATACACCTGTGGCTATGGAGGTGATTGGAGCATCTGAATCCAATGATTTGGAGCAGTGTCCCAATACTTTTGGCAATATAGTGTATATGTATCCCCTTACATAAGTAAGTGGGAAGCAGATTTACAAATTTTGCTCAATGAACCACCAATTGACAGTGAAATCTATTTGGTCCATAAATCCTCTACAGTGAACCAGATCCAAAAACAAGTCTTAAAAATTTGTCTTGCTGGTATCGGATTCCAACTTTACTCTATACATAATATACAAACACCCCTTCTACCTGCTGCCATAGCCAAACTGAGCAAGGTACACTGGTACACTTCTTCACATCTTCTGGAATTGTACTCTAGATTGGTCTTTCTGGGCAGAGGTCAGAACACTAATCTTGTGCCTCACTTCAGTGGATCAGGGCAGAATCCATGTCAGGATTTGACTTGAACCTACAATCTCTGCAGGAATTGGCTATGGCTTTTCACAGTCTGCCATCTGGGATGCTGGACATCTCTCTACCCGATTCTTTGGATAAACTTGCTTTGTGTCTTGTTTCTGGTGAACCTTGAACCCTTTGCTCCTCTCATGAACTTCTAGATTTAAGCCATGTCTATACACTTCCTGTTTCCTAGATTATTGTGCACTCTCCAGCCGATATCATGCTCCATGCGTATCTGCTACTGACCTTATTTATTGACCATTGGCTTGTTCATTGACTACGCTTCTCTCTGATCCCATCCAGCTACTACTCATTACTGACCCTTGGCAGATGAAACAGATAAGGTACAAGCACTATGCTATTGAATTCCGTACTCTGGCAGTAGAGGTTGGTTGGAACAATGAGGCTCTTGTGGCCACTTTTTCCCATGGCCTCTCTGACAACATTAAGGATGAGATTGGAGCTCGAGATATACTTAAGAATCTTGAGGAGTTGATCTCGTTTGCCATTCTCATTGATACCAGGCTCCAAGAAAGACCTTCCTTTAAGGAGCACTTGCAGAAGCCTTCTGTACGTTTGGCTCCGAACTTTGCAATCCCACCCATGCCTCCCTCACCTCCCATGCCTCCTGGACCTGAGTCCTCCAGTGAAGTAGAGCCCATGCAGCTGGGCTTCACACATCTCTCTGCAAAGGGAGGGCCTTTAGGAGAAGGCAGAGATTTTGCTTCACTGTGACCAAGCAGGTTACTTATTGAAGCCTTGTCCAACCTGTCTGGGAAATACTTGCAATTGAGTCCCTGTTGGGGACAGACCTTAGGTGGCATTTTTTTTGTCCTCAGCTATCTTTAAAGATAAGCCTCTAGTTCCAGTTACCCTTGCCTGGTCATAGTTTTCCATCGATACCCAGGCACTAATCTATTCTGGGGCTGCAATCTTCTTATAGCCCAGGCCATCTTTATTTAGAGAAACAATTCTTTTTTTTCAGATCCTCAGAGAGTTCTTTGCCATGAGGTGCCATGTTGAACTTCCAGTGATCAGTATGAGAGAGTGAGAGCAATAACACCAAATTTAACACACCTTCTCCCCATTCACACCCTGAGACCTTGTAACACTAACGAGTCACATGACATCGGGGAGGGAAAATGGCTAATTGGGCCCAATTTGGACATTTTCACTTAGGGGTGTACTCAGCGGTTTAGACATTAATGGCTGTGTGTTGAGTTATTTTGAGGGGACAGCAAATTTACACTGTTATACAAGCTGTACACTCACTACTTTGTAGCAAAGTGTCATTTCTTCAGTGTTGTCACATGAAAAGATAGAATAAAATATTTACAAAAATGTGAGAGGTGTACTCACTTCTGGGATATACTGTATATTTAACAATGTAGTATATTAATGTTTATAAAGCTGCATTACATTGTGACATTGATATTTGCCTTGAGTTCAACGTTAAGGCTGAATTCACACTATGTGCAGTGACCAGCGTTTTACTGCATTGTAAAATGCAAGCTCTCTTTTACCTGTACCATTCATATGAATGCATGTCTATGTACTTCCTTGTTACAGTCTAACCTGCCAATGTTCAATATTGGAACTGTCCAATGTGCCTTTTCTATTTTTCCCCATCTTGCTCTTCCTTTAGTTTTGTTATACAGTAAAGTGGAATTCCATGCTTATTGCTAACTATGCTTAAAGTAGTTGGAAAGCCTAAACATTTCTTAGCTTAATGAATTGTAAGGTAAAAAAATGTTTCGGTTAAATTATCACCCCCCTTACCTGAGCCCTCACTCGATCCAGCGCAGTGCCCGTCTCCAGTATTTGGTTGAGAGAGCAGCGGGAGCCATCGATTCTTGCTGCTGTCAGTCAAATTCTGTGATGAGGAAGCCGGGGGCACGGGGATGAGCCTCGCTGTTTGTGTCAGTGGATACAGACAGCGGGGCTCGGGATCTAGCATGCCAAGAAGAGGAGCCAGGAGTGCAGGGGTGAGACCTGAAAACAAAAGGTTTGAGGCCATCCTGTGCAATTCCACTGCACAGAGCAGGTGAGTATAAACCTGTATGTTATTGAAAGAAAATTACATTTTAGACTTTACAATCACTTTAAGCCTGCTCCCACCCCCCTTCAAAATCTTATTCTAACTACCCTGTGAAAGATAGCTGCTAATACCTACCTATTCTGAGAGTGTTATGATTTGGTCACATAATCTCTCCAGCTGCTGGCTTCAGGGGAGAGGAGAGAGCGCCAACAATTGCTGAAATGCCTGGACAGTAAAGTCACCCTTAGGCTTACAGTGGGGCATCAATTTTTGGCTGTCCCTCCTCTCCCCTGAAGCTGCCAGTGGGAGCCAATCACGTGACTGGAGTACCATGAGAATAGGTAGTACAGTATAAACATGTTCCTTTTACAAGGTAGATAGAATAGCATTTAGAAGATGTGGGAGCAGGATTAAGCTTAGTTAGCGATTGCCTGGAATCATTTTAATGGTTCTGTTTATATTTTTATATTTATATATGCTTCACATAATATAGCAGATAAAGAGATAAATACTGTATACTTTTTTGAGTTAAAATTCATGCGGTATTTATCTCAAAAATAGTCAGTTCATTAAACAAAATGCGTTATTTACCGAATGCGTTAAATATTTATGTTTTGCGATATTTATCACTTAAATTTAGAGCTATTTTTGGAATTTCATAGTAATTTTTTTTCACACTATCTTCACCAGAGGAATATAGTTCTGTAAATAAAGAAATATGAAACTGAAAACATTCTTGAGTGTTTTCATTCACAGAACAATCTCCCCCAGGTGAAATGTTACAATTTATTTTCATTCCTGAGCTCAGAGCAGAACATTTCCATACTAATACATTGTATACTTTTAATTTACTGGCCAGTGCAGAGTTCCCCTCATTGTTGTTTTGTACATTGCTAAAATACTGGCCACCTACTGGGAGGTGATAAATAACAAATGCTTGTGTTCTTCAGTGAATTGACTTTAACCCTACGTTCACATCTGTGAGGGGTGGTGCAGCTGTGGATCCACATGAAAATCCGTGCAGCCGCACCACTCGCACAGAGAAATGTGGACCTGCGGGCGGGTGCCATTAGTTCTAATGGCACGCCGCCCGCACTGGAAAATGCAACCGTACTGGGAACCGAGGTTCCCATGCGGGCTGTGCTTTCAGAAGAAGTTCAGGGACTTCTTCCCTGCGTGTCACGGGCATGGAAGTCCATTCAAATAAATGGGCTCTCGTGCCCGTGCAAAACGCGGCCCACATGGCTGCATATATGTGAATCAGGGGTAATAATCATGAAATCTTTTTATCATTTTACTTTGATGAATTGACTCTTTCGAGTCAATTTGCGATATTTCAGAAAAATTAGTCACGTGACCTACATACTGCATGCTGAATCCTTTAGTGAACCGAGCCCAATATCCAATATATTCACTAGAATGGTCCATAGTAATCCCCACATGGGATCCCTTCTATCTCTGGTGGGTTTCTTGTAGAAAGAGAGAGATAGAAACCTAAAAGGTGATATAACAAGATTCTGAGTAGCTATGACGTGAGAATTGGGAAATCTGTGGTTATAATGTGCTATAGAGAATTCTTATGAAGCATTCTTTAGCTGGAATGAAAGCTGGCACAGAGAAATGCTATATGTTTGCCATTTGGAAACCGAGTCATTTGTAAAATGCCACTTTAAGATCAGGGACTTGAATATGCTGTTTGGCAAGGCCACAAGGATCATAGAATTGCAGATCTTTACACAGGCAGATAATAAAATTGTTGACTTACATGTAATTTGCCTGGCTGGTGTTCTGCTTTAAGACATTATTACTGTGCTGCAAAACAAAAAATAATAACTTTACCTGTACATGTGTAGGATCAGTCTGCTTTTCTTCGATATCATGGTTTAATGGTGACACCCTTCCATCAAGCACCTGTTCTTCTGTGTCTGTCTCATAGAGAGTGTCTGGCATACTGTGTCCCTTGCACTATTTGATTCCTAGTTGCAAATAAATATCATAAGGTTTAATATTGTGTAATAAAATTGGTTATAGAACATTTAGATCTTGTTCATACTAGATGCATGTATTTTCAAAAATTGTAAGATGTTTTTATAAAGAAAACTTAAAGGCCCCTGTATGCCAATTTAACAAGTATGACATCTAGATATTATGTGATGCATAAGCCACATAAAGTAGGCAAAAAACTACCTTTACTTCCTCTGAATGAGCCAAATCCTCCATTTATGCCTCACATGCTCCCTTTCCCAGGCACTGCAGCTCACAGTGGGAGGGTTTCAGCTGTACAATCATTGCTGCCAATTCAGAAAGCAGTGGGCAGGACAATGTGTGGTTTGGTACTGATTGACAGGCTGATTGACTTAGCAGTGACAAAGCTGATATCTCTGCTCCCTGCAACAGTTTGCCATTCAGCTCTGAATTCAGGAGCAGTGCAGCATTGTTGCCACATCATTACCGGAAGCTGCATTAGGTGGACGTCACTGGCAGGAACAGCAAATATTTGTGGGACTTTGCACTCGGACTAAGCGAAAACTGTGCAGGTGCATTTATAAAGCTCTGATGATTAAGTGCTGCAGCACTTAATTTATAGGGAAGTCATAATTCTATTTTAAATATATTTTGCAAAAACGGGTAACAGCCACTCAGTCATTTTAAAATTAGCAAAATAAAGGTGCATGGCTGTGACGTTCTGAGTTTGCTGTATTTTGGTACAGAAACACAAAAAGGCTCTTCTTCAGGGAAACTAAACTTCTTGTGTGTTTCCTCCATGAAAGATTACTATACAACAGGGGTCTCCAAACTTTCCAAGCAAAGGGCCAGTTTAATGTCCTACAGGCTTTAGGGGGGAAGACCGTGGTCAGTGGGAGTAGAAAATGACCTGGTATCAGTGCCCCATCAATTGGTTTTAATAGAAGAAATTGTGCCCCATTGTTGGTATCAATGGGAAGTATAGTACCCCATTGATGGTGTCAGTAAGTGGAATGGTACACCATCATTGGTGTCAGTTGGTGGAATAGTGCCCCATGGGAAAGATGAAGGCAAGCAATAGGCCAAATCTGGCCCCTGGGCCACTACTATACATTATATATGACCCAGTTTTGGAGCTCACGTGAATTATTGTTGGGCTAAATTGTACTTTTACTTTACAATGGTTTGGACATTTTTTTATTTAGACATAACATATTTTATATTCTTTTTTGCTATATGTATACAAATTTTGTTTTGCAAAATGAATGTACACAGACATTGCTTTTCTACATTTGACATGAGTTTGAAAACAGCTCGGTTAATTCAATGCTGTACAATTCCAAGGCTGCATTTCACTTGCTTTACATTGCAATTCTTCAGACACAGATGTCCTTTTCTGATGCATTTGAATTGCATAAAAAGCAACTCAAATGCAGCCTTTGCCAGTATTTTGCTTTTGAAAGCATGCTTTTGACCTGCGTTTGAAAAGCAAGAAGGCAGAGTTTGACAACACCTGTCTACACAAGCCCTTATCATGTTTTTTTTTTTAGTTTTGGCCACAAGAATGAAACTATGTATCAACCCTTGCAACCTTTCATTTATTTTTGGGAAGCAGATTATAATTACCTTAGTTTTTCTGGCTGCAAACATTGAGTGATGGGGGGAATTTGTATTGTAGATGATTTTTTTGGGGAAAAAATGTCATCGTAACAAAAATGCAGAATATAGGACTTTAGCCAAACACACCCAGACGATATAGAAATCTACAGGATGATGCACCTATTATAAAAATTATTATTTTAAAGAGGTAGTAAACCCAAAACCTAAAATGTAATATATTGCAGTTGACCAATAATTTGATGTGGTGGCTGCATTAGTTTTCTTTTTGAAGGCTTTTTCCCCTCTGTTTTCACCTGGTGATCTGGCTAGTAATACACTTAGTAGTATTAGAGTACCTACACTCTGTATGAAGAAGCAACATATACACCTTTGGAGAGCAGCATTGGCAGTCTTTGTAGATGGAAGTGTTAGATGTACCAGAAGATTTAAATACTGCAACAAATTGAAGCCACGCTCCAACTAACATTTTTTAAGTAGATAAAGCAACTATTTTTTTCCTTTTGGGATAAAGCTTTACATAAATAAAAACTGATCATTGTAAGCAACCCTGTCAGTGTAAAATAGTTTGTCTCAACCCTCTAACTGCTACATCTACATGATTTCTTTCATGGTGCAAAACAACAGACTTGCTGGCAGGATCACCAGGTGAAAATAAAAGAAAGAAAACTACTGTAGCGACCGCATCTAAGAACTGGTAAGCTGCATCACAATAAATGCTTGTTTTTAGGTTTAACACTGCTTTAATTAAAATTCCATTTGCAATGCACAAAAATGGTAATTAACTCTCCATGCTCTTACATTTATAAAGTACTTCTTCATCAGTGGGACTACGGGGGCTTTGATTGTGTGGCACATGGTCATTGTCTTGCTCCACCTTCATCTTCACTTGCAGTCTCAGGGTGGTCCTCTAGGGAGGGATGGCTGGGTGGAAGCATTGTGTGCTCTTCATTGTTTTCAGCAGCATTGGATTCACTGACTTCCATAGGGATATCTTGGCCAACAGGTTCATAGAGTAATGTGTCTTCTTGAGATTCGGGATTCACTTCAGACATTTTACACTGGAGTAAGCAACACCAGAATAGTCAGAATTAAATGATTGTCACACATATACTGTATATATAAAGTATCTCGCTCTCGCTCTCTCTCTCTCTATATATATAGGTGAGCTCCCAGCACAAAGACCGCGGTGTCACTGAGAGCCCTGGGTCCCGTTCTAATAATCGGAACCCGGGACTCCTGATTCTGGGTCACATGATCGCTGTGACAGCCTCTGATTGGCTATCACAGTGATCAGTCACTGTGCAGCCCGGCCCCCTTGTTTTTTCTCTCTCTATGAATGGAGAAGAGAGATACAATGTATCTCTCTAACTCCTGGCATAGAGAGGAAAAAAATGTTTGTAAAAAAATAAAAGAAGATAAAAAAATATTAAAAAATAAAGAAAAATACCTAGATCAAGGTTTGATCTAGTTCAGTGCCACGGTTAGTGTTTGGATCAAGGTCAGGGTCAAGGTCAAAGGTCAGGGTTTGAAAGAAATTGGTATTAGTGTCAGTTAGTGTTAATGTCAGTGTCAGTGTGTTTTAGGTAAAAAAAAAAAAAAAAAAAGACAAAAACAAAATGCGCATTATTGTTTCTGGGCTGTACTATGGGTACAAACAACAAATAACATACACATATATGGTATCACTGCGATCATCAAGAGCTGGAGAATTTATTTTGGGGTGTTCTTTGGTGGTAGGTTATGGTCATAACAAGAAACAGCTAAATAAAAAAAAAAAAAAAGATTTTTTTTTTTACTATTTTGGGCCAGTTTTCCTTTGATAATAAAAAAAAAAATCAGGAGCTATCCATTACCATTTACCACCCAATGAAAGCCCAATTTGTCCTGAAACAAAATCAGGGTATAACCCACCTGGATGTACAAAGTAGTTGTGATGATATGGACGGTTTTACTAACACATGTCAACGTTGCAGAGTTGTGCTTAGGCATTTAGATTTGTTTTACCCTTAGGCGTGAAGGGGTTAATCGGCAAGTACAAGTACCGATACTTTCGGTCAAGTACTCGCTAATACCGAGTACTGATACTTTGCAGTGCGAGTTGCGTTAATGCACGCAAATTGCACCGCAGAGAATAGCATGCGATTTGAACAGGAATGCGAATCCTGTCCAAATCACATGCGGTTTCCCCACTGCTCTTGGTGAACCCAGGTTTGTCATAGCCCGAGTTCACACAGGAGCGGTGCGGGAAACCTTCCTGTAGGCATCCCACGCTGAGTGTCAGTGGTAGGAGAGGGGAGAAAGCGAAGATTTGAAATCCCCGCCGCTTTTATTCCTCTCCTTGCAGCGATGACAGTTTAGGCTAAACAGCATCTGAGTGGTCAGCAGCTTTCTCTCCTCTCCTACCACTGACAGTTAGTGGGATGGCTGGGAGGTTTCCCCGCACCGCTCCTGTGTGAACTCGGGCTATGACAAAAAATAATAAAACGGTGAACACTAAATAAATAAAAGCAGCTAGCACCTGAGACAGTGACAATGAGGCTCCATGCACACCGGGAGTTTTAATAACGCTGGTAACATTAGCTGTGTAAAGTCACATTAAAAACATGAGGTTTTCAGAGTTTTTGCATTAGCGTTTAGCCACTTTTTTAGCATTTTTTGGTAAAAAAAAGTCCAAAAACGCTGGTTTGACATGATTTACCACGTTTTTCAGCATCAGAGCATTTTTACAGCTAAAAAACTCCTCTAGAAACCCACTAGTTCTGGGGGTTTTTTCCAGCCAAAAAATGTTCATTACAGTGTATGTGTGCATGGACACATAGGATAACATGCTGGGGTGTTTACTAGCTGTAGAAAAAAACATCAAAAGCCAAAAACAGCCGCTGTAAAAATGTCCCGTGTGCATGAGGACTAAATCTCAATGAACAAATATATACAAAGAGTGCAGCGCAAAACAAATACAATGAATATGTCACAAGTATAAATGACAATATTATTATTATTATACAGTATTTATATAGCGCCAAAAGGTTTGCTCAGCGCTGTACATTATAGTGGGGGACAGTACATGAGACAGTACAGTAACAAAACAAAACACGAGGGGTTCGAGGGCCCTGCTCTTTCGAGCTTACAATCTAGGAGGGAGGGGATAGTGGCACAGGAGGAAATGGCTGTGGGGGATGGAGTGGTAGGAGGAGTGGAGGAGATCGGCAGTTAGGTGAGGGTGGGGTAGGCTTCCCTGAAGAGATGGGTTTTCAGGGTGCGCCTAAAGGTGAGGAGGGTAGGTGACAGTCTGATGGATTGGGGTAGTGAGTTCCAGAGGATGAGGGAAGTCCTGGAGAAGTCCTGAAGTTGGGCGTGGGAGGTGGAGACCAGGGAGCTAGAAAGTAGGAGGTCTTGTGAGCGAAGATTACGGGTAGGGTAGTATTTGGGTAGCAGGTCAGTGAGGTAGTTTGGGGCAGCGTTATGAATGGCTTTGTATGTCAGAGTTAGTGTTTGAATTTGATGCATTGGGCAATCGAGAGCCAGTGGAGGGAATGATATGATATATATCAGTGCAAACAATGCAATATCGCATAAAAAAGTCCTTCCAAAGTGTATCGGTGAAAAAGTAATTTGATATTACTAATCACAACAAAGTATCCAGTTCCATATAGTGCTCTGGGGTCCAAAGTGATCCACCACCACAATATACTCACCAGAAGGCTACTTATTAGGTAGCAATTGTAACAGAAGAATTAGGCAATCATTCTCCAATGTCCACTAGTCGGGTAGCCTCCTAGGGGAAAAAGCTCACCACACGGAGCCCAAAGATACTGGATATAGTAGGGGTGCACTGAAATTTCGGTGGCAGAAAAATTTCAGCTGAAAACACCCCTGAAAAAAAGCACCGATACAGGTGTCGAAAAAACTCCACTCCTCGCTGCCACCCGCTTGGTAGTTCTCAGCCTTACCTAAGAAACCATCAATCCCGGCGCTGGGCATGGAGATGAGTGAAGGAAACATGGCCGCCACTCATCTCTAGGCCCTTGGAGGACCGAAGTGAAGTCACTTCCGGTTCTGGCCATTTTTTTTTTTGAAAGCACTAGATCAATGCTTTTTTTTTATCCAATGCTTTACATTGCAGAGGAGAGATGTGGGGTCTTATTGACCCCTCATCTCTCCATAAAGAAGACCTGTCACTAATTATTTCTATCACAAGGGAAGCATGCATTTCTTGTGATATGAATAAAAGTGATTACATTTTTTTTTAAAGGGACAGTACGAAAAAAAAAATTACATAAATTTAAAAACAAAAGTTTAAAGTGCCCCGTCCCTCCGTGCTCGCAAATAGTGGTGAACGCAAATGTAGGCCATGCACACGTATGTAAGTGGTGCTCAAACCACACACGTGAGGTATCGCCACGAACATCAGAGCAAGAGCAATAATTCTTGCACTAGACCTCCTCTGTAACTTTCCACTGCTAACCTGTAGAAATGTTTAAAGCATCACCCATGGATATTTTTAAGTACCGCAGTTTCACGCCATTCCATGAGTGTGCACAATTTTAAAGCGCGATATGTTGGGTATCTATTTACTCGTCGTAACATCCTCTTTCATATTTTACAAAAAAATTGGGGTATATATTGTTTTTTTTTGCTTTTTTTATTCAAAGTGTATTTTTTCCTAAAAAAAATATAAAATTTTTAAAAAACTAAGCATTTCTGTTTTCAGTTTTCGGCCAAGTGCATTTAGAATTTTCGGTTTCAGCACCAGAATTTTCATTTCAGAGTACCACTAGGATATAGTGTAGAATTTATTTACATTTACATCCATAAAATCATTCCATGTGGAAAGAGCTAGACAACACAGACATGCAGCATACCAAGATGGCTGACGTTCCAAAGCATGGAACCGGCAATGTGACGTCAGCACGTAGGCTCCACCCAATGAGTATCGGGCTATGACAAGCCTGGGTTCACGCAGCAGCAGTGGGGAAACCGCAATAGATTTGAACAGGAATCACATTCTCGTGCTAATCTTTGCGGTGCAATTTGCATCCATTAACGCAAATCGCACTGAAAGTATCGGTCATTGGTAGTATTTTCATGAGTACTCATAAAAATACTCAGTACTGGGGCATCCCTACAATGCACTATCATGTGCTGTGTTGATGAAATTGCAATTTTTGCTCAATTGCGGTGCGTTAGATAGACCATTCCAATAAAACGTCCATCTTAATGTAATGCGTCAACACAAAAGCATTAAACGCACCACAATACCATTCCATTGGGCTACCTTCACACTGATGCGCAGTAAAAACGCATAGGCATTCTTACCAGCGTTTGTGGTGCATTTTTTACAGGATGTGTGACTCAAAATCCGCACCAAAAAATGCATCGCGGGTGTGTGTTTTTGCTGTGTTTTCCATGGATTTCAATTGGGAGATGCATTTTTGGTGCACTTTTTTTTACTGCACCAAACCTGTACCAAAAATGCAGCCAGCGGGATTTAAAAAAAACGCCCCAGACCTGCAACAGATCAATGTGAAAAGTTCCATAGGAATACATGGCCCAGTGGTTTTCTTCCACAGAAAAAGTGATCGGTGTGAAAGCAACATTGGAGGTACTTGGAGGGATCTACTAAATCTGGAGCAGACGGAACCCGGAGCAGCTGTGCATGGTTGTAACCAATCAGCTTCTAGCTTCAGCTTGTTCAGTTAAGCGTTGAAAATGAAAGACAGACGCTGATTGGTTGTCATACACGGCTACTTCAGTTTTAATAAATACCCCTCACTGTGTTATCTGTAGTTTTTACAGGCAGCCTCCAACTCTTCATAAAACAAGCCATCCTATTGGTTCCCTGTAACGTCCTATGATGGATAACTATTTCCCCGCACATTAGTCCTTACACTAATGTGATATGAAGAAGCCCCGATAGTGTGCCATCTATATATCAGGACACCCCGCTCCATTATGCCGCATTAATCAATACATGATACTCACAGATGCCCGTCTC